CTGGAGTGTGTTTTGTGTAGTAGTTAAGAGCACAGTCTTTGGGCACCATCGGGCTCGATTTGACTCCCAGATATGTTCTTCACTTACGTGATTTGGGCAAATTATTTCACCAGCCAGTGGCTCTGTGAATTCATGTGTACAGTAACGATATTACTCATCTCCTATGAGTTGTTTGGAGGATTGAATGGGTTAATATTTATATGTGGCTTGACTTTGTATCTGAAACAAAGCATTGTATGTGTTTGCTCTTCATTTTTATTACCAAGTCTAATTCTTTAATGAGTAAAACTTTAAGATCTCTTGGTAATAATGCATCATATTAAATCTAATTTGTATTGTATAATAACAAAAACAGGATAAGTTGGCATTTTTTATTTTAAGCATTCACAAAACAAATTAAGCTGTTAAACGAAATTTAATGGAAAAGCATGACTCATTTCAGAGAAAACTTTTAAAGTACTTTAACAACCCCAATAGTGTATTTATTAATCACATCTGATCCCAGTAGAGTTAGTTGTCTAATTCTGATTAAGCTCTCATAAATACGTGAGAGAAAAATTTAACCATCATATAAAAAAAACAATTCTTAAAGTATGGTGTTCACCAATAGCTAATAAATAAAAAAATTTAAATTTACATTAGAATCTAGAAATATAGTACTTCTCAAACTCTTCTTTTTTGCTATTTAGTTGAAATTTTGATTCATCTTTTGGGCTTTCCAGTACTAAATTTAAGTTTCTTTTTTAGAAAGAAGAAGAATACTATCAGAAAGGATATGTTATATTTTTATCTTTAATAAACCTTTATTAGAATTCAGTATTGAAGTTCAAATGCAGAAAATAACTAATTAAATGGTGACACATGGAACAACAGATTATTAAATGCTTTTATAAATTAATGCAGTTTTAAATATATCTTAAATTGGTTATTTTGTATTTAAGTAGGTGATATCAAATGTAAAAACCATGAAGAGCCATAGTTGATGTTTTTTGTTACCTTTTGAGGTATGATTGACAAAGATTATGTATATTTAAAATATATGACTCAATGACAATATAAATACATGTACATTGTGACATTATTATCGCATAAAATAATTAACATTTCTGTTAACTCAGTTATTCTAGTGAATACTATTCTGTTTTATTTTTATGAAATCAACTTTTTAAAGATTATACATGTAAGTGATTTGATTAAAAGGTATAAACTTCCAATTATTAAGAGTGATAAGTTTTAAGGATCTAATAAAACATAATGGCAAAAGAAGCATAATGGCTATAGGTAATAATATATTTTACACTTAAAATTTTTAAAAGATTAGATCTTCAGTGGTTTCATCACATCCACACCCACACAAAGGCAAGAATACTGGGAAGATGTTGGTTAAAATAAGTTATATTCTAAATTTAAATTCTATTTTAAAAATTATTATAAAGTTAAATTCTATTTTAAAATTATTGAATGGTAAGCTTGTAAAGATTCCTGTAGACTCTCATTTTTTTTTCCTTTGATAATGACCTAGGTTTATTTTGTCACATAAAAACCTGATCTTTAGTATTGAAAAAATAAAAAATCAAAGGCAAAGTTTTTCAGTGTTGTTTTATTCTATATAAAATGTAAATTTATGTGTGCATTTTTTGGTGAAATGTTTATTCAGTCACTAAACATAAGCACATTTTATACACTAGTCACTGGTTTATAGTAGTGAAACAGAAATGGTTCCTGTACTTAAGGATTTCAAATCTAGTATGAATTAATAATGAAGTAAAGCGAACATACAATTAAAGTTTGAGTCATTACGTACGGGAATGTAGCAAAAGAACAGGGCCTGAAGAACCTGTGCGAAGGTCTGAGATGACTTTTAAACAAAGAACTCAAGGATGCGGAGGAGCCAGCCAAGGCAAGAGCTGGGTGGAGCTTTCTAGGCAGAGACCGTGTTTATGAGATAGCTGTGAGGCCAGGAAAGGCCTGGAGACCGAGGCAGAAGGTGTTTTCCGCAGAGTAGGTGCCCACTGCTCCAGTGCTGACTGTGTGTGTGACTCACCAGACAAATGACATTCCGATGGCAGGACTGTGAAATAGATCTTTGACTTGCTGGGTGTTCATTCAGCTGGTAACCATGTCCTTTTAATTCCATGTCTTCATTTTATTTATCTATCCCTCCATAGATAACTAGGTTTATTTTATCTATTACTCCATAGATAACTAGAATGATTTAATAATCTATAAAAATATTGAGTTACAAATGGATGAGCTCATCATATACTTACTTAGCAGTTAATTAAAAGGACTGGGATACTCTCATAGGCTGAAGTTGTCTTTGGCTTTTCACAAAGGATCAAGAGTGTATAGTGTTTCCTTTATGGGCAGTGCCTGCTATCTAGTCAGATAGCAGCATCTTTGAACTTTAAGCCTAAAAAATACTGAACTGTCTACCCTGTCTCTTACTCTCTTCATTTTTCTGTGGACGCACATCTGGGCCTCTTGAATAATCGTTCAGAGGTTGCCTTGGTTAATTTTGTTGCTGAGATAAGATACGTGACACCCAAAATTAAGGAAGAAAAGGTTTATTTAGTTCGCAGTGGAAGTTTCAGTCCATAACCTGCTGGGTCAGAAGCAGAGTGGCTTATGGAAGAAGGCAACAGTTCATGGTGATGAAAACACAGCAAGAACAAACAGAGAGGAATGTGGAAACGACTCTTTCTGCTCCTTATTCTGCATGTGGGCTTCCCACCCTGGGTGCATGTAGCACTCCCATGCATAACACAGCGTTTGATCATGAATCACTCACACATTATAAAACCCTGCCCCATCCGTGTATGAGGCTTTGGGGGGCCATCCAGACATAAATCATAGCAGCTGTCAAACTGCATAGTTGGTGATAGAATTGAAGAAAGCTTTGTTAACTCAGTTGGCTGCAATTAAGTGATCCTAAACAGTTTCTGAACTTTTTTCACTGGGTTCTCTGGCATTGACTTTAACTGTGAGTTCTTAGGACTTTTCCTGCTTTTTCTCAACCTTTGTTTTTAAAAAATGCTGATGGTATAGGAGTTCTTAGGTTTTATTTTTCTGTCATCTGTCCATGTTTATAAAAGAACTGTGTGCTAAATCATGATACTTATGCATTCAACAAACTTTCTTAGTGCTGTATTTGTCTGTGTTACTTGTTTATCATAGAGAAGGAAATATTCCTGGACTTTGTCCATGTAAATTGTGAGTGGAGGAGACTGACACAAAGTAGATGAACAAATACAAATAATTAGAGATTGTGTTAGGTGCTCTGAGAGGATAATTTTGTGCCTTCTTTGAGTTGAGCCACCAAAGAAGGAATTTCTATGTAGATGATTTAGGTATAATGCTAAATGATAAAAAAGTTAGCAAAGGAAAGTAGGGATAAATAAAGATGGTGTAGAATATGTCTCTTCCAAAAATGTTGAATGTTTTTATTTTAAAATGCGAGATTTTATGTGCTACTGTGCTCCACTATTTTCATGTCTCAGTTGGGGGTACAAAACAAAACTTTGACTTATCAAATCATTTACTATTGGGCTTGTGGAAGAAGGTGTATTTGACTGCTTTTTTAGTGTAGTAGAGATAAACATGAAACAGGTACAAAGTGATTACTCACTATGTAATGGTTATACATTTGTTTAATGTTTCTTTACCTTTAAACTTTTAATTCTGAAAATTTAAAGAACTGCTGAGTTCCTAGAAGTAAAAACAAGACATCTGTAATATTGTTGGATGTTGAAGACCAAGACAGGAGCAGAAAGATAATAAGATGGAAAGAGGGCTGGGGAATCAATGTGGTTATAGGTCTTCACATGTTCGTAGTACTTCATAATTAATTCACTGCTAACATATGAAACTCTTGTCTGCACTGATGAATTTAAAAAGTTTTCTCCATTAGATCATTTTTAGTCTGATTTGACTTTAAGCAACATGCGTTAACGAACCAATGAATGATTCCTGTGGGAGCCCCGCTGTATTGCACAGGCATCACAGATGTGTGGCTAAGGAAGTAGATTTTCAGATGCCTGAAGTTCTTTTTGCTATCTTTAAATCTTTTGAAAGCCACAGGAAGTTATATCAACTCTTTGTCTTAAAAGTGTTAGAAAACTGCAAGAGGAAAAGGAAGACATAGTCAATGTTTACCTACTTATTTAGAAATGACTTAAAAAAAAAAAACACAGGAAGATAGTTTCCATAGATTATCTATGTTTAAAGCCAAAGTACCTCGATGGCATGATTCAAGGCTGAAAACCAGGTTGAGAACAGGATTTTCAAAATTGGTGCATTGTATGAGTTCAGGAATGGGAATAAAAGCAAAACATAGAAGATCAGAAGAATTGACCTTTTGTTTTTCACTTACGCCTAAATAGGAAACGAGGTTATATTAGTTTGCCTTTGATTTTTGCATGCTAGTAACCATTTTTGTTTTACTTTCACGTAAACCTGTGTAAAAAGTATGAATGTTTCCCTGAATTTTTAGTAATTGTAAGTGATTCTCTGTTTTGACATGGCTTTTCTAGTTTATTTAATCAAAATTTAATAGTTTATCTGTGTAAATCCAATTAACAGAGCTTTGTTAGTTTAGTAAAAATATTATTCATGCACCAAAGGAAAAATCAAGGCAAACTAAAATAGATGTATAAGCTTAATGAGGGGTGAAAGCTTTATTCATTTTCTTTATTTAAGAATTGTATCCATTAATGGAAATGGGTTCAGTGATACTGTGTGTGACCACCCTTTGTTTGCACTGAACGTTAGAACTGTACATGAGACTGTTAACAGTATCATTTTTAACTATCTGTATCAAAGTCATTACATATACCGTTTCCTGTGTATCATTGCCAGAATCTGTATGCAGTTTTACCTGTTGTTGCCTACACTGCTTAAAAGCAAATGAGAATATATACAACATGGTAACATTATAAATGCATTAAAAATCCAAATTCCTAATATCTGAATATAAAACAACAATGTTATATGTTTTGCAGAAAACGTATGTTTCAGAAGAGATGGGTGAAATTTGATGGCCTTAGCATTTCTTACTACAACAATGATAAAGTAAGTATATTTTATATTTGTCAGATATCACTTTACAGTATTAACATACTTTGGTGAACTAAGCAAGTGGGTGTAGTTTTTAAGAGTAGGAGATAGAATATCAACATGGAAATAATTTGACTATGATAAAAATAGTCTTTTCTTAATTTTACTTCCTGATAACATGCAAAATTGAGATTTTTTTTTTTTACATGTGTATCTAACAATTGTTTCTGGAGTATCTTTGATAAACCATAAAAATACTATAAATGATACAAAGGTGAATAAGAAATTCCCTTTATTGTACAGAGCAGGAACCAATGTTTACAAAACACTCTTTAAATAGAAAATGGCAAAGCACTGGGGTGGGGGTGTGTGTGCTGGTTGCTTCATTCTCTGGGGATGGGATGATTTTGCATGAGATTTCATTTGCCATGAGTCTTGAGGAAAGAGAGTGTTTATACATACAGAAACTAAATAGAACAGAGCTTATGCTTATGCGCTGGGAGGCCAGTGAAATATTCACATGGGAGATTGTGAGCTGCAACATTGAGCACAGTTTCGTTTGTTTGTTTGTTTGTTTTTCCCTGATTGGAGAACAGAGTATATGAAGAAGCTGGGAGATAAAACTGAGAAGGTTGTTTAGGTATAGAACTTATTGGAAATCTTGACTCTTAGTAGTGGTTACTGTGTGTTGTTTTGGCACTGAAGTCCTAAGGACATGGTAAAGTTCTAAGATTATCTTACAAGGTATGAGTGTTCTCCATAGGACATATAGGCTAGAATAGTTATCAGGTTTATATCTTTGTACTTGCTAACTTTTCTAAATGTTATCTCTGTATGTTTATTGAGACCCTAACTTACACATGTTATCTCTGTATGTTATTGAGACCCTAACTTACACATTTTCTTCAATATTTTCGACTTACTCGTAGTCTCTTTACAGTTTATAATTTTATTCAGCACCCATGTCCTCTTTTGGTTTTATTGAATTGAGCAGGACAATTACTCAAGTGTGATCCAGGCTTCTATTCTATACCACAAGGTTCGGTTGGTGATGGTTTTCTTATTCCTAGTGAAGAGAGGTTTAACAACTTAACATTACTTTGGCTATTTTATTTTTCTCTCTGTCCTTTCAGAATTTGTCTCAGCTACTGTGAAAAGAAGAGCCTATTATATTTTTAGATATTGATGCAATAAAAATAATGCAGGCTTGGTTTGAAATTGAAATGAAAAGTTGCTATTACATTGAATTAGTACAAATTGATTAGCTTCAATCTTTATCTTAATATCATTTAACAAATTTAATTGTTGTTTGCAAATGCATTTTATCTATATATTGCCTAATGATTGGTTTCATCTTGGCAAAACATGAAAAAAATATTGCAGTGGGTGTTTTGTAAAAGGAAGCACAGTTTCTACTACATGTGACAAAAGGCACATGTCAGTGCGGCCACAGCTCTTCTCCCAGCTGATCAAGCAGTTTCTGCAGCTTTCTGAACAGAGCAGTTTGGCTTTTTTAAGGTCTAAACATGCACTGTTAAGGAGCACGGGGTTGGGTATTGGGAGGTAGTGTGCAGTTACCTATTTCCCTGGCTTTCTTCCGCTGTTCTCATAGTTGCCCAATGCTGTCTCCACCAGGACTTCACTTCCTGACCGAAAATGGTGTCATTGCAACAGCCGTGATACCTTGTCCCCTGCTAGGAAGTCTAACTCACTCCCTCACTCCTTAGCTGCTGGCAGAATTGCCCTGCGGTCATTTCATTGTCTGAAAGTGGTCAATAAATGATAAATTTGACCTAGATATCTGTGTGTTACAGACTCCAGGGAAGCTTTAACATTTCTTTCCTTAAGGAAAATTTTACACTCTGAAAAACACAGGCATTTTGAGCCTGTTGTCGTTTAAATGTTTTTCTTTTCTTATATTGTCTTTATCATGTCTTGTTACAAGAGAAATATACAAAGTCAACTTTGTAGTGCTAAAAAATTACAAGATCTATTTTGGGATCTCATGATAGATTATAAATGAGTTGTTAGAGAAACTACAAGTTCCTGAGGTTAAATTGACATAGTGTTTAGCTTGCTAAGTGTATTTTGATCACTTCTGGAGAATTCTTTTTTTTTTTTTTTTTTATTGTTCTTACAAGTACTTAAACCTGTTAAACATAAACATCGTTGTAGGCATTGAGGTTGTTTTTTAATACACTTAAACAGATCTGGTACAAAGAGAATCTCTATTTCTATATCTTATTCTAAAGAACTGCTTGTGTTTTCTTTACTCAAAAACAGGTCAGAGGTAACATTGAACAAACCTTAATTATCTCATTGGGGATTTTATATATAAATCAAATTTTTATGCAAGCTTTAGTTTAGGGACAGATTACTTCGGGGTAAAGTACATATTTTGGACATTTTAAATTCAGTATTGTTTGTTGCCAACCACTATAAAGTTAAAACAGAGTAGCCCTTAAACTGTCCCTAAAGAAACTGTAGTCTTTTCCTGACTCCTTCAATTCCCTGACCATGAGGTGAAATTTATTCTGTTACCAATCTGTAGGATACTTAATGTTCTAGTTTTGGCTTTATCCTGCCATCTTAACGTATTTGTGTTTTCAAGGTTTCCTTTGCTAAACCTATCATGTCATGTATTTCTTTATAATGGTCTTTCTCAGTAATATGTTAGCATACACGGTGGAAAATTTGGGTCTTGATTTTTACCTTCTACGTTTTTCCTCTTTATGGGTTCCTTTTGCTTTTTCATCTGAACCTTTTCAGCCATTAATTACCATCCACCAAAATCCTATGCAAACTTCGAGATCTGTCCTGTCTTCCTCATGAGCCTTTTCTTTATCTTTTCCAACTGTCATTTCAACAGTGTTATACAGGGAAGTATAGAAGAAAACAGGCTGGAGGTATAGAAACAAATCAGGAGAGTACTACAGTAAGCCAGACATTAATTTATTAGAGTGTAGACTAGAGCTAGTTTCAAGAGAAATGATGAAAAATGAATTTTAAAAATATTAAAAACGAGCTATCAGAGTTTGGTGTAATTGTGATTGATTAAACAGGGGATTCTGTCGTCCCCAAAATTTTATAGCACTGACTATAAGAAAGGTGGTGAGGAAAATAGATAAATGACCTCAAGTATATTTGAGAAGACTGTATTCATCCAACAATCACATTTGGCTGTACCAAATCATCATTTAAATTGCGGTGAGTAATTAAAAAGTAGAGGCTGCTTTCAGACTAAATGAGGATTATCTGCCCAGATGGGGATGAAGCACCTGAGAGAAAAGGCTGGTCAGAAAGACATTCCTTAGAAAGGTCCATTTACACTGGAATATGATGGGGTAACTGTGAGGAGGGCTGGTGAAAGACATTCCTTTTTAAGTGTATGCAAAGGTGCTGGTTTGGGCAAAGCCATGTTCAAAAATGTAGTATGTCCAGGGAACCTCAAGAAGACCAATCAAGAACTCAGTTGTCAAATGATGAGGAACTGTTCCACAGTAAAGATGTAGAGAGAGCTGTGTAATGTGTGTCGGGAAGATGAGCCCATGCCAAAACCTGTTACGTCCTGTCTCAGACTGACAAGAAAGTGTTTTAATGGGCAGACGCGTAAGTTTTTAGATGATAGTGATTTTAATTTTCAAATTGGAACTACTTGTAAGATACTTGCATATATTATTGGCTCAAAATATGATAGTGAAATTGAGTGAAATGCATGCACAAGTGAGGAGACAGTATGGGAAGGAGAAGAAAAGAGAGTGTTTAGATTTCTTCCCATAGGCTGGTAGTTGCATTTGTGAGGAGGGATTTTCATCTTGGCTCAAGATGACTAAAAAAGGATGGGGGATCAATTATTTTGCAAATGCTTATTTCATAACTTCTTTCTCCTTTTCCTTTATGAGGTAGCTCATTCATCTTTGTGAATAACAATCTAAGTATCAAGTTCAGATTCATCTGCATGGGAGAACATAAGAAAGCCTACTTAGCATTGATATTTAAGGTTTTTTTTAAAGAAATTGATAGAATTTTAATGGACACATAAAGTCAGAGGTGGGCGATTGGAGCACAGCCTGTGAAAGAATTGTGAAAAGAACTAAGAAAGAATAACATTATGATACACAGTACATCTTTCCCCCTAGCAGAAGAGGGAAACCCTTCTAAAAGAGTACTGTGTTGTCCACAGATGTGCCTTATCTATCTGCTGTTGTGGGAGTTTATAACTGGAATGTGAACCTTCTGCTTGGAATGGTACATTCTGCTTACCAATTATTTTAGAAACAGGGCTGCTTCAAACTGGAAATTCTGTGAATAATACTTTGGAAGGGAATGCAAGAATCCCCTTAAGGATATGTCCAAACTCTTCTGATATTCAGAACCTTACATAATGTTTCCAGGCTCTTGTCCTTGGTTTGTGTATTGCTTACTACTTGCTGTGTTGCCAAGTCTTAATTGTTTGCTTTCCACCTCAGATTATTCATTGTTTCTGAACTTAATGGTCTCCACTCATTTATCAGTTTGGTTACAGTGATGATTTCTTAGAGTCAGACTCAAATGTTGCCATGTTTGTGAAAACATCTCTTCTTTTCAGCAGAAATGAGAATTTCTTTGTGCTCACATATTATTTACTTTGTGTTCTGTTTTAAGCTTGCTGTCATATATTAGGTTGTTTTCAATTTTGAGGCTGCTGGAATGTACAAGGACTCTGTTTTCTGACATAGGACTCAGCAAGTATATTTTTGGTAAATAGTTGAAATTATGAGATAATCATCCTACTGAATGATTTGTGAGGGTCTAAGACAATGAAGATTGAGAAAAAAACTATCAAAACCTTAGGAATGAATTTCTTCAACAGAATCATAACGTGTATATGCCATTTACAAGCAGCTAAATCCATCTTTTTTTTCTCTGTTTAGTCATTGGGGCATAAAACTAGATGTAATGTGAGATTAAGATCCTCATTATCAAAACGTTGCATAACATGATTAATTCATAAAATTCAACAGGTCTCTTAAGTATTTTTTATTCTTAGTAGGTAATAGCAATAGTGTTGAGGTTGTTCACTTACAGTACCTGTTGTGGCCAGCAGATGCCTGCAGACACCATAAAATCATTTGGATGAGCTGGTTTTAAAATGCTGCTGCTTTTTTGGAACTATTTTATTGTTAGTCTAGTATGATTGTTCATATTTTATGTTTTGCCTTTTAATCTCAGATGAAGAAAAAATTGAAATGATATTTCACTTAAAAGACAGGGACATTTAATATTTTCTGGGTTTTAAATCTGCATTTTATGCCATTTTAAAATTTAGATAGAAATTTTGTTAGAGAAGCAGTTGTAACTATTATATCATTCTTTTTGATAAGATCAAGAAAATTTGATTTTAATTTGTTTTTATCTATTTTTCTAACCAATTCAGGAGATGTATTCAAAAGGAATAATTCCCCTTTCTGCTGTATCTACCGTACGAGTTCAAGGAGACAACAAATTTGAAGTTGTTACCACACAAAGAACTTTTGTGTTTAGAGCAGAAAAAGAAGGTAATATTCTTTCTTTATCATTATAAAGATACATTAGTTTCTGGGAAAATTAATAAACCAGGTAATATATAAATATGAAGAATCTTTTATGTATTTGTGTTTTAAAATTTGTTCTTTAATACATAATGTTAAAACCTAGATACATTGAGAAGTTATATACATTTTTTTGTTATGTGATGAATTTTAACATGGAGCTGTTAATTGCTGAGGATGCTTCTAAAAAGTTATATGTACATAGCACCAAGGTAAAAAAAAATAAGACAAAAATCTCTGCTCTCATGGAGCTCACTGGAGACTTTTGAAAATGCAAATAGTTATTTAATATGCAAAAGTAATTTTCCTATTAAATTGATTTTATGAGAAAGTTTCTCTAGGTCAAGCTTTTAGTTGAATGTACAGCACAATCTTTATTTTAGAGATTTTTAAACATCTTTTATATTTCTTTTTTATGCTTTATCTATAATGGCTCATTTAATGGTAAAAATTGACCTAAAAATAGCAGGTATTTTGAATCAAGTCTAAAGGAATAAATAAAAATGTTTTCTGAATTCTGTTTTGTTAAGGAGGGAGAAGCTAGAGAAGTTAATAGTTTTATGTTGTATATTTTACTATTGTGATATGTTATTACTATAAATCTCACTAATTTAAAATATATAGTTAAGGCTATCTCCTTAAAAAATTGAAATTTTAACTTATTTTGAGGATTGCTGTTATTTTAGCATAGGTGTATAATTAAGCTTGATTTCTCAAAAGTATTTCTTGGTGCTTTACTGTATTTGAATTCTGATGAGCTAGAAAACTTACTGAATATTGATGTGTCAGATAGTCTGCTGCATCCATTTACACCACAGCTAAGCACTGCAGTTTTCCATTTACTGAGAAGAGCATTCACCAGCTTTGGAAGCTCCCGTAGTGTTAGTTGTTACGGGAAAACATTATCTTTTAAAACAAAACAAAACTAGATTTCCTAGAACATAATAGAGCATAAGTGGCATGAAGAAAACACTCAATAAATACATTACTAGAAAATTCCCATTGTTACTTTGGATGATCTATAATGAGTATTTTCCAACTGTTCATGCCAGAACTGTGTTTTTACCCCCAAACTCTGGGTTTTTTAAGTTAATGATTTGTAAGCTCAGTTTATGATGCCACCAAAAAACATAAAATAAGAAGTGCCTAGGTGTGTTTTTGATGTAGTAAACATTATATTGTCATACACCTATGTCTGTGCCACACAGCATGTCAAAAGCTATGAACCTGGAGCAGGGGTCAGCAAACTGTAACCTACATGTGGCTACTGCCTGTTTTCCTAAATGAAGTCAAGTTAATTCACTGCTACTCTTACTCATTTATATTTTCTTTATGAGTATCTCCACTTACACTGTCCCAGAGCATTTTATCAAATATTAACTATGTAAGGAGCCATTTGTCTGAATGATGGCCTGAAATTCAGAAAGTTGCCCATAGTTTTTGATATTTGAGAAGGGATCTGTATTTGAAACCAGTTTTTCTCCTCACGTTTTTATCATCACACAGAGCATTGCTCCTCTGGATTGGCCAGGGTGACAGTCTTTCCTGGCACTTTGGTTTCCTGCTTAGAGAGGTGACTGTCTGCTCCTTACTTCCCCTTGGACTCTCATACTGAATTTTACATATGCCATAGAGTCTCTTTGTTAAGGTAGAAATACTAAACAAAGCTTTGAATTTGTGAAAATGTTTCTTGTTGTATTAAAAGTTAAATAGACATGCTTTATTTAAATAGGATATATAAACCCAGGTTTTTAAATTTATGTATTTACAGTGGATGAAAATATAAGAATTTTATGAACCTTGTATATATTTATTATTTGTTAAATAAAATTGTAGGTTTTTAATTTTTGAAACCATAGGAACACTAAGTAAAAATGAAATTGCTGAATAGCTTTGCTTGGAAGTTATTTTCACATCATAACAACTCACATTCCTAGATGTGTTCAAGCATGTGTATGTATATAAGTAATTATATATAAGAGATCTATCCATGTCTCTATATTTAATATGGAACCTTATAAAAGATGTTAAATATTTTTAAAATGATCTTTCTTCCTCTCATTTGTACAAGTAGTTGATTATTTTGTGGGACATAAAAAAATTTATTTAATGAGCTTTAGACTTAACGTGTGCTTCTATCTGATGAAGATGCAAAATCAGCATTTGGCATAGAAAACAGAACAGTTTGCTATCGTAAGATACATTCTTAATTTTTGGTAAACAAGTTATGAACTACCTATATGCAACAGCTATCCCTGTCTGTTCTGAAATCAGTGTCACTATTTCTAATCTGTTCATCACCTACTGGTTTGGCTAACATATTATAATTTGGCATCTTTTTTTCCTACAGATTTTCATAATCACATTTTTAAAAATTAAATTTACTATTCTTTAAGTGGGAAATTTAGTCTTAAGCAGAACTAGTGGGATTGGGGTGAGGGTCATATCAGCTAATGATCTCTTCCGTCAGCTTCCCTGTGACACCTGTGATCACGTGTAGGTACAGTGTCTTTCTGTCCACGTTAGCACTTTCTAGACCCCTGAGAAACAAGCAAGTGTGCCATTCTCCCAACCCTGTTTAAACCACATCATACAGCCCTCCAGTTTTAGCTATGATACTGATACTGGAAAGTTTCGTGTTTTGTTTTGTCATTTTTTTTCCCCATAAATACTCTTGGTATAAGAAACGTGAGTTTTTCTTATTCTGGGCAAGTATTTTTATCCTTTTTCGACATCATCTTTAGAAGCAGGACATGACGTATTTTCCATTCTTTTTCTTTCTTAATTTCGTTGTTGTTTGCCAACTATTTTATAGAATTCTTGGTAATCTGGAAGTTTCTAACATAAGACCTTTCAGGAACTTGCTAAGATTTTTAACTTCCTGTTAAAACATTGTATTTTAGGTTTTCCAACTCTTGTTTGAAGAAAGATTTTATGGTTTTATAAATTGATCTCAAATATATATCTTCACATCTAGCCTTTTCCTTTATTCAAGAATGTTTTATGTGTATTCAACTCAACATGAATAGTAGCTTCTTCTATTCCAAATTCCTGTTTCTACCTTTTCCACCAAACCTGTGGTCTTCCTCATCACAGTAATTGGAAGACTCTTATGCTTATGTAGTAAACTATAATATCTTTTTTTAACCCTTTTCTTTCATGTCTCATCTCCAGTTCATTAGCACATCCTGCCAGTTTGACCTCAAACACAAGTCTAGATATCGCCCAGTCATTGCCACCACTCTGCTACAAGTCACTGCTTTTGGGATTGTGTTTGTCACCTCTCACATTCCGTTCTGGTCATATTGTCAATTCTGTCTGTGAGAGCAGTCAGTCAACAAGAAAATCAGACCATATCAGTTTATTTCAAGGTCACATTGCCTTGTGCTTACAGAAAATATAATATTTATGCTATCCCACCACCCGCTATAATCTGGCTTTAGTCTCTTTGATCTCTGCATTTGTTCAATACTTATCTAAGAGGAAATTATAATTTGGTTTAGAATAATATAAATTATTGAAATATATTCTCCCATGTCTATGGTTGCACAACTAAACACAAATGACACTTGTAATCTGTAGTGTTTGGATTATATATTAACGGTTTCTTTCCTTTGACATGATTAGGAATAATCTGAATATTGCCACAAATTCCTCATTCTTCTTAATTCTTCTTCATTGTTTTGTTCCTAATAGTAACACATGTCCTCAGGTGATAGATATTTCTAGGGAATCATGTGTTGTGATGCTCCTGTAAGGTACATAAGCCCTTAAAAAGCAGTTTCCAGTTTCAAATTAATTTCTTAAAAATTGAGACATTTGCTAACAATGATTAAAAGCTCCAAAAACTGTGCCTCAGTTCTTTAAATTATGACCTACATTTCAGACCAATTTATGTAGATTTATGCAAAAAGAAGCCATTGTATACATTTATTTGGCAAGAATATTTGTGTGAAACTAATGATCACATGTAATAACCAAATTAGATGAGATTCCTGCAGCTGTTAACTAAAAATGGAGGATGTTATCATGATGCAGTCTGGATCTGTTTATGTAACTATAGAGGAGTTGTTGTTAATGTGTTAGCTGAGTACTCCTACACATTTTAGGTTCAAATATACAGCAGTGAAGAGAACATTTCATTAATATTTCATCCTAATCTATAGAAACATGCACCATTTCTTGTGGATTATGTAACAGCCACAAAACAGCATTGTTGAGTAAGTTTTTAATAAATACTTTAATCACTGACAAAGCCAGTTTTTAGCACTTTTGAAAGGGAACAAAAATGAACATAGTTTAAAGTTAAAGAATGAACATAGTTTAAAACTCAATATAATTTCAGATTCATGTGTCAAGGTAACCATGTCTGATATGGAGACATTTTAATGTACAAAAATGTTGCTCTGGGGAAACCTGTCATAGAAAGATTTTAGAAACTCACATTTGGAAAGCATAAGTCCTCATACTCTTTCCATGAAAATTTTTCCTACGTGGATTCAGTCTGTTTTTTCTTTTTGCCTTTCCATTTTCTTTGTTTTGATTTGTATGTATTTTTCTTTTGCCTTAATAACTCTTCTCCATTTGCTTTAATGGCTCATTTTCCCGCTCCTCTTCCATTAAACACTTTCCCGTGCCCATAGGTCATCTTTCGTTCACATATTGTGTCATTCTGCACAGGTCCTTCTGCTGTGGCAGTGCACACCTCAGGTGGTCCTTTTGGTTCATTGAATCATCTCGCCTTGTTTGTCTGGACACCATTAATTTTTAGTGAATATCCATCAGTGTTGTTCACAATAGCTAGCTAGTTTTCATTTCCCTTAATATCTTTACGCTTAATATGTTCATTTGTTTCCATTTTCTTTCTACTTTTAAGTCATTCCTCACCTCTAACTTCCAGTTGGGCCCACCTGTCATTATCCTAACTATCCAGAGCCTGTCACTTCCTTGCTGAGCATCCTGAAATGTATTTCCCCTGTTTCTGTAATAAGAATGAAATTCCTTAAACAGACAGTTAAGATTCTGTAGCCATGTTTCCCCTTATTTCCTTTTGAGTCCAAAATTATAAATACATTTACTTTGTTAGACCCTGAAGAGATGTTGGTTCCTCTTGCCTGTGTTCTTGTGTTGGCCTTGCTCAGAATCCTACTATGTTCTTCTCCCTCGTAGCCTCCAATTTTGTCTTTTGAACTGCTCCTCGTCCTCTTAGTTAAGGAATAAGATTATTTCTTTTATTTTATGTTATCATAAAAAAAGAAAAAAAAAAGCTGAGTGAGAGTTAAAACATTTGATTGTACTGATTTTAATATTAACGTACTAAATGACCTTCAGCAAATCACTTACCTCAACTGAATCGACTCAGACATTATTTGATTCCATTTGTATGACATTCATACTATTCTGTGTTCCATTATGTGCTGAAATCCAACTTGACTTACAGCATTGATTGCTCTTTGGGGAGAAACAGCATTCATATGCTGTTAACACAATGTGTTGTGTGTAGTTGAAGGTCACTCAGCTTTTGTGGAGGGAGTTGGAAGTTGGGAAGTTTTAATTTGCCAGTTGAGATGCTCTTCATTACTGCGAGAATGAGAAGGGAGATTGGATATCTAGGCAGGCTTAAATGAAATATTTTCTGAGAATTTGACTGAATTGACAAATACAATCTGTTAATTGTTGAATATTAATACTATGTTATTCTGTTAAGAGAAAAAAATCTAATGTCATGGTTAACTACGTAAGTGTTTCTCAGGCTTCACAAGAACACAAGTCCCCTGGAGTTGATTTTATAATGCAGATGCTGATCTATCAGGTGTGGAGTGGGGCCTGAGACTTTTACATATCCCATAAACTCCCAGCAGAAGCCAGTGGCACGCATACTGGAACACTTGAGTAGTGTTATTTCTCCCTAAAGAGCTGGGTCATTGGCTTTAGCTACAATAGCATTTAGATTGTGGTTGTGAGAAAGTATTTGTGAATTACCTGTTTTAAAGAAAACAGATTTCTTTTTTTGTGTTTCTGTGTCTGTACAACTTATGTGTAGGTTTATGTGCTTTCTTGTATTTTCAGAGGAGCGGAATGACTGGATCAGCATACTGTCAAATGCACTGAAACTACACTCCCTTACTTCTCAGTCTCAAGTGGCTGTTGCACCTGAGAAATGTGGATATCTTGAACTGAGAGGGTACAAAGCCAAAATTTTTACTGTGTTAAAGGGAAGCAGTGTGTGGCTTTGTAAAAATGAGCAGGTGAGTTTTATTGTGTTCATTACAAATTGCTATATAGTAGCAACTGTGTTTTGTTTGAGTTTTGAGTTTTTACTTATAGAGTCTTATTTTTGTATTGAGTGCTCTACTACACCTAGCAGTGAAAAGAGTTGTTGAAGTTTTGTTTCAGAAAAGGATCTACATTCATTTTGAGGTTGGACATCACCTTTAAGGTGATTAGGAAAGAGCATTGTGAAAATAATGTTTAAAATACATCCCTTAGTTGAAGCAAAATAAAATAAAACTTCATGAGACAATAATTAAGAACCAGTTTGCCATTACACTTGATGAAATAGGTCCAGTCCTGCATTTGATGTGATGCTTTTATTTAATAATAGAAAATTTTAGAATTAACCCTGGTAATATTTTTTTGAGTTTACAAGATACTATATTTTTCCTTTTTAGTAGATACATTTTTCTTTTTTAGTAGATACGTTGTTTTTAGGAAATGTAGATGATGTAAGTGGAAAAAAATATATATTTTCCTAAACTTGCCTTATATGTGATATGTGTGCGTGTGAAATATTATATCACATATAAATAAATAAAATAGACTTGAATTGTTGAAGTTTTAAATTTGATTGGTATGAAAATATTTCAGTAGAGAATTTAAATATTTTTGAAGAGACTAATGGTGAAATAAAGTGTTGGGTTATTTGGTTCTGTACATTTCCTTTTTTCTAATGTTTCTGATTTTTGGTATACAAAAGGAAATTCTGGTTGTGTTCTTTTTGAGTATATTTTCTTATTTCTTAATCTTTCAGCCTAAAATATAATAGGTGCTTAGTAATGATTTTTGTCATTAACCAGTGTTCTTTGGGTATCTGCTCTAAGAGCAGCTCATTTTATTTTATATTAAAGTAGGTTATGATATGGTAAAGCATAAATACTATTTTCATAACAAAAAGATATTCCAATTCTAAACAAGCAATATTTTTAAAAAGTTAACTGAACTGTGTAGATCTTTATTTAAGGCGTCCTCTGAACTTCCGTGTGAACTTATTAAGTATTTTTTTCGATAAGATTTCTTAGCCAGTTAATTGTTGAAGGCTTCATTGAGCACTGTCAGCATACTAATAGCTTGGATAGTTAGCATATTCCTCAAGAAGAATAGTGATGTACAGCTTAATAATGTGTATGAACTGAATATGAAGATTTTCATTCTGTGAAGTTAGATGATTAAAACTTTTCTTACTGGAATGGAGGTTAAAATGCATAATTTGAATTCGTTGGTATGGAAGTTACTCTGACAAATTGAGGTGTTTTTACTTGGGCAGACTTGATGGACTTTCCATTACTAGCTTCATTGTGCACATTAGAAAAATTGTTTATCTTATTATTTCAAAATAAGGTATTTTCAGAGTTTTGGTAACATTTTTAATTAGCAGAAAATACCTGACATCATTGATTTATAATTAGCAATTGAGTGCAAAAGCATAATAATGATGCCGTTTGTTGAGTACAGGTAGTATGCTAATTGACTTCCCTTTTAATCTTCCTTACAAATATAGGGCGTACATAATCTCATCTACACTTTATAGATGAGAAAAATGAGAATTAAATAATTTCTGCAGCGATTACAGCTAGTCATGAAGAATTTAGCATAAATTGAGAAATTTATAACTCTAAGCTTGGCTTCCTAACCATCATACCAAATTATTATTATAAAGTCTAAATTGAAAAGAAATTTTCTGTCCTTTAACCATTCAACAATAGCCCAAGAATTCTTTTTTATGGATAATTGGTTTCTAGGAATTTCAGGGAGTGCTTTCAGTACACTTTGTGTGTGTATGTGTGACACACGTTTTGTGTGTGTCAACAACTTTGTGTGTTGGCCCTCCGAAAAATGCTGTGTTTACTGAAGAAAGACAAAGAAGCCTAGCCTTGGAGAAACAGCAAGACAGGACCAGTGACGAATGAGGAGTGCTGCATTAAATTGTGGACGAGTTACAGAGAGACACAAAAAAGGAGCATCTAGGAAATCTAGAAACTAAAAACACTTACTTACACAAGGAATGAAGATAATTAAAATATGAAGGTTGGACCCTTCCCCGTTATTTAATAAGTAAATATTTTCAGTGACTATAGAGTTGAAGTCTTTTTTTATACAGTACCATACCTATATATGTACCTCAGAAAAGTGGAAACTAGTTTTTGAAAATGTGCTGATTTTGTTTTATTTAATTGCATCCTTTAATATGAAGGTCATATCCTGAAGAATTTGGGTTGTCTTAAAGTCTTACGCACTAGTTGGCGGGAGGCTGAGTGGGTGAGTTAAGGAAGGCTGTCTGTGCTCAGGCCATCCCAGTTTCTTCCATTTCGCACTGGGTTACATGCCTTCTTCTCCAGAGGAAGATTGCTCTTTGGCTGTCTCACAGCGGAGCAGGTTCTCTGAAGTCAGGGATGGTGTGCTAAATGAGGAATGCAGAGGGTTTTATGCCAGTCTGGGCATTAACCAGTTCTTTAGGAAAACCATAAATGGTAGTGCAATATTTTAATACAATTTCTAGAAGCTTTATGAGCACACATCTATGTTTTCAAAATGATGGAAAATAAGCTACTCATTGTAAAAATGTAATACGTATTAGATTTGAATTTCAGGATCTTACTTTGTTTTGAACCCAATTTAATGCAGCAAAGTTAATTATCTTTATTAGTTTAAAACTGATTTTATTGCCCACATAACTTAATAACATGAAGAGAATTTAAAAATATAAGGAAATTGACCATAGTACTCCAATGTAGAAACAAATTAACTGTAGTTTTCTTTCCTTTAATGTATTCTTTTTTCTTTTATTAATTTTACTTTGACTGTCACTTCCGAGGAAGAGAGACAGTGGATATGGTTGGAAGGGCAACCAATACAGCATGTGCTGAAGAGTCCTGGGAGAGATGGCTCGTTTACCTCAAAGATGGGTGAACTGGCAGGTTACAGATACGGGTTTTTGTTCTTGGTCCATTACTGATGCAGGTAGTTAAGTTAATCTTTCTGGCATCAATAAAGAAGGGAAGTGGATTAAGCCACGTGTTGAAATACCAGATTTTTAGGTCTAGTGTAGACCATTTCATTCAAAATTTTGGAGAAAGGGAAGATGAAATTTACAGCTAAATATTGAGGTGATTCAGTGATAGGTAATTCCAGACCACATGCTGTAAAACACTGCTCTGAAATAGTACCAGCAGTTTACTCAGAAGAAATGGTTGATATAATGAACATCTCAGCTTTTATTTCTATATCATATATGCTATTTATTTCCTTCAAAATTTATTGTTTTAATTACATTTATTAATGTTTATTGAGTGTCCAGTAAAAATTTTGTTTTTATAGCTGTCACTTGAAAGTATTTCCTTTGTATTTATCGAAATGCTTACTGTATAATAGATTAGATACAGTCATGAGTTACTTTCTCCTTGAATTTTGAAGTCATGTCTAATTTTAAACTAATATATGTTACTGCTTTTCTGTTAAAAATCTCATCATTCTTATTTAAGAGTTTCATTTTTTCAGCCCATGAATCCTCTCTTAACAATGTAATTCCTTTGTCTTAATATAGATGATTGTAAAAAACTATGCCTTATTGGAGGGAGCTTTTTAAACTCCACTAGCAAAATCATCATTAAAGAAAAGTGTTCGAAATAAAATAGAGATATTGTTCATTTGTTATTTCCCATAAATTCCTTTAATTCAGTATGTGTGCCTAGAGGTTTACTTCTGAAGATTATTTAACTTTCTTAGAGCTTTTTGTCTCTCCCTTAATGTCTTAGTCACCCCTAGAAAATATATTTTAAGTAATTGTTTTCCCTTTTTTAATCTATCTCTTACACTGAATCAAGAATATACATTTTTTTAGTTAAAATATTCAGTAAGCCACTATTGTAATTAGTGCTTTTGAAAATTTATGTTTTGAAACTCTCTCTTTGCAAAGAGAAATGGCATAAGGCTACTAGAGAGGTTGCCTGTCTGCATGTTCTCATTGGTAGTTCACTGATTGGTCTTAACTGAATAGAACATGTCAACATGGATTACGCATGGACCTTTGATTTTCCTAGTTCCTCAGTTCAAAAATTCATTTTCATTTGGTTTCTTATATTCCTGTTTATTTATTATTCCTTGTAAGAAATAAAACCTGAAGTAGTTCTTGGTTGCATAGAGGAAATATTTTATGGAATGATTTATTGGCTATTGCTTTAGGTAGTTTTTTTTTTTCTTTTTCCACATAGGCTTTAAGGAAAAGTATTAATAAAACTATGAAGTGATAACTAAAAATATCTATTAGAGAGGAAAAAGTCATAGTCAAAACTGATGCTAAAATTCTTTGCTTAATGCCTCTTGGAAAGCACTGTGTTGTATTTAGCATATAAATTTTCATCTTACATATGTAGCACCATCTTTCAGCCCTACCCCATTTGAACCTTATTTTATCTCTTCTCATAGTTTATATACTTGGAATGCATTGCGACTTTTTCCTTATTATTCACCTTTGTTCAAAATGAGTCATATAATTGAATTTGTATAGGTTACGCTGTGGCCACTGTATTTCATTATCTGTTCCTTATTTAGTGAATGCTAAGCAAAGACCATCTCACAGGCACTATTGTGAGAGCCTAGATGCAAGTGGTAACCCACAAGCTGTGCTCTAAGCACATAATGGAATAGTGATAAACATGAGATTTCTATAGCCTTCGATACAGCTCTGTCTTCCATTTTGAATTTTCTTTTTTGACAAGGTTTGCTAAGATTGTTTCCTAAAGAGTTGTTTATATTTAAAATGCTGACTAGGTGTCAGTTACACATTAACCTTAAAAATATAGTTATAATTTTTATATTCCCAAGTAAATAGTATAATATTTTATTGACTGTTGCTTCCTTAGGAGTTCCAGGCAGAAGCTAATATTCTGTAAAAATAACATAAGAAATTTGAATTAGTGATCATTTACAGCTGCTATCCTCTCTGGAAAATTTTTTCTTTTTCTAAAAATTT